TCGTTTTATGTCATTGTACTACGTGTACATAACTCAGGATGTCAGCCCTTCACAGCATAATCCCCATCGTGTATGCTTCTCCGACTTCGGCAATTCAGTTAGTTTTGATTTATCTATGACGCGGGAGATTCGTGGGATCCCAGAACATCATCGTTCCATGATTGTTCCGTCAATTTACGCTGCAAAGTTTGGCCAAGTTGATTCCGCAAGATCGTTCTTCACAGATGGATCACTAATAGAGTCGTCCGCTGGTTTTGGTATTTTTAACGAATTTCATAGCGCCTCTCGAATGCTTCAAGCTCCTTGTTCCGTATATGTTGCTGAACTGGCGGCAATATACTATACGCTAGAAACGATCGCCTCACTTGCACCAGATCACTATTTTATTTTTACGGATAGTCTCAGTTCTGTCGAGGCTATTCGATCCATGAGGCCGGTAAAGCACTCCTCGTATTTTCTCATGAAAATACGAGAGCTTCTGAGTGCTTTATCTTTAAGATCTTTTGTCATCACCTTTGCATGGGTCCCATCTCATTGCTCGATTCCGGGCAATGAGAAGGCGGACTCACTTGCTAAGGTGGGCGCTATGCAAGGCGATATTTACGATCGACAAATCGCCTACAATGAATTTTTCTTCATTTATCGTCAACAGTCGCTCGCCAGCTGGCAAAATAAATGGAGTGAAGGGAGTTTGGGACGATGGCTATTCTCGATCATCCCTAAGGTGTCGAAGAATCCTTGGTTCAAGGGGTTGGATGTGGGTCGAGACTTCATTCGTCTGATGTCTCGCCTCATGTCCAATCACTATTCGTTAAACGCTCATTTGTTTCGTGTTGGGCTGGGAGACAGCAATCTCTGTGAATGTGGACAAGGTTACCAAGACGCCGATCACATCCTTTGGTCTTGTGCTGAGCATCGTGGAGTCAGATCTGAGCTGTGCGATTCCCTTCGGGCTCGAGGTAAACAACCTAATGTTCCAGTTCGGGATATTTTGGCTAGACGTGATCTGGAGTTTATGAAACTCATATATGTTTACTTTAAGAATACTAACCTTAGATTGTAAGTTTGATTAACCTTGTGTTTAGTTTGTGTATTGTGCGTGTAGTTTTTTTTTTATGTTTGTTTTCAAGATGAATAGAAATAAGTTCATGTTTTAGGATTAATTAAATATTTATATAATAAATCATATTTCAAACCTCCTTCTCCCTTTCCCCATCCAAAAAATTGTAAATCTCCACTAACCTCGAGACGACCGCGAGTAATCGGTTCAATTCCTTTAACTCTAGATTTAAGACATTATTCATGTATAATGCAAATGATAACTCGGCTCTGTAAAGTTTATTCGATTGAGCCTGTACAAATAAATTAAAAAAAAAAAAAAATTGTTATTTTTGATAACGTTAAATGTTCGATATTTTGGAGTGGATCTACGAGCGCATAAAAAAAATGAGCCGGCTAATTCCAGTTACAGACCAGAATCCTTATGCAAATGCAAAAGAAGTACCACTGTTCTACGTTTGAGAAAACTTCATAGTAAGTCTTGTTGCCAGAGGTTCAAGCATAGCAGTGAAATGGAAGCTTAACACTATATTATGTGATCGGTGCTTGTAAACAGTGAATAACGAATGAGGAATAGAATTTATTTTATTTTATGCCTGCAACTTTCTTTTATAGAAAGTTGATTCGATTCGCTCTAACATATTAACATATATTTTTTTAAAACAACCAATTATCTGAAATATTTGGAAACTAAAATATTCGATAGCTACCGAACATTCCTATCACAATTGCTGAGATGCTCAGCTATAGGCTCATAATATTTATATTTTTTGCTAAACGTTCTACAAAAAAAATAATGAACTATCATCACGCCTAAGCAAACAGTTTAGGTTATGTTTGAAATCACGAAAGAATTCTCCGATTATTGAGCACTCGTCATCTTTTATAATTTAAAAAAAAACCGAAAATTTTATGATCTCGTCAAAAGAATTCTTTAAAAATAAAGTTAGTGTGTATTATTGTGAATTTGCACCCAACAACTTCTGGACGTGCTTCAGATTAAATTTGGCTTTCTATTCGGTACATAAATCCACTGAGTGGGAGCAGCCTTTGATCTTCATAATCGGATGCCTTAGCGACAAAATCAATCAATGACACCGATATTGACCATGCATCAGAACCCTAGTCGTACACACAAAACAAATTTCTCTTACATTCAATGTAAGGTTGGATTTACTAAAACCTCTGCATATGCTTCAAACAACAAATCTAATGGCAGTTCTGGCAATGCAATGCAGATTAACATTACAACATATTTTCCAAAATGCACATTTTTGTGTAAAACCTTCACGAGATGACAGTCGAAAAATAAGCATACATGAAAATTACAAAATTATTTTAAAAATCTCCTGGCGACCATCTTATCGAATCTGTTCATGCCGCGAAATAGTGCAAATTCTGCATACTTTTCATGCAAACCTGTAATAGAATCTTACATTTACCGGTTGGGTGTAGCCAATTCAAATAAGAGAACGAAGAATATAAGATTATCACATAGACTAATCCATATCTCCTTGCTTTACAATCATCCTCTGTGGAATGGGATCCAAGTTTTGTCACTATCAACTAAGCGTAAAACGTTACAAGGTCTAAGATGTGTTTCTTTAATTTCTGAAAAAGGACTGTTCCTTTAGTTTGAAGTAGTAAAGATTATGGTTTGGTGATCGATGTTACACCACAACACCACGATGAGGTGATCTAGCCACGTTACGTGATGCATATAAACAAGGGTGCGCGGGTCAATTTTAAGCGTAGATTCACGAAACAACAACAACAACGGAAATAATCGTTGATCGGAAGCGAAGATCCATGAAAAAAGCCGTCAGGTTAACGAGAACGATCACAAACGCGTGGTTGGGGCCTTTAAACGGAAACCGAACGCCTGAGTTCGAGATGTGGCTAAATAGTACCATGTGAGAAAGACTTTCGTGCAGAATGGCAAAACTCTCGAGCTGGACTACGTACGTATACGTATAGGTTCAGAAGTCCCCAAATCGTGATGAGAAACTGAATACGGTTGCAAAAAGTCGTGCCCGGAACTTGTACGACCAGAAGTTAACGAAATCACACTGCTGCGTAATGAATGACGAGACATATGTGAAGGCAGACTTCAACTAGATTCCACGAAATTTGTATGTGACTGCCATGGATATGTGTGATGATCCAGAGAACCTCCGGACACAGAAGATGTCGAAGTTCGTGATTTGTACTTGCGGAAAGCGGAGTACACCTTTCGTTACCGCAAGCACCATGAATGGACAGGTGTATTTGGAAGAGTGTCTCCAAAAGCGGCTTCTCCCTCTCCTGAAGGCTCACGACGGTCCGACGATCTTCTGGCCGGATTTTTCATCGTGTCACTACACGAAGGACGTGCTAGAGTGGTATAAGGCGAATGATGTCGACTTCGTGCCGAAAGATCTGAACCCCCCAAACACTCCGGAGCTGTGCCCAATAGAAAAATATTAGGCCATTATGAAGGAGCACCTTCTAAAACGACATAAAGTGGTGAAGAATGTACAAAAAAAATGAAGAGAGTATGTGTTAATCTGCAAAAAAAAACCGTCAATTCTGAGGTCGTGCAGAACCTTATGGTTACGGCTAAGGTTCGCCCATTTGATGCCAAAACCAGCTTTAATTGTTTCTTTTTACTCCCTGAAAATTTGGTGATAATCGGATAAAAACTCTATTTTTGAGAATGAATTTTGTGTGTGCGGATGTTAAACGGTACGGTACGGTAACGGTTTAAGCTGTATGGATATAAATTCAATTGATTCATCCGATTAAGTTTGGTGGATGGTAATCTTTTCAAATCTTGTAAATAAATATAAAAAAGCTGGTATGCAGACTTCAGAGGTGTATCAGGAGCATTTCAATGACAGTTTCATTCAAGTTAAATTGATGTCGGTGAATCCTTATTATCCGTAGAAGTCTTCTAAGCTTGTTTGGTTGCTGGTTCTGGATATTAAATGAAATTGCCATTAGTGTTACTTTTCTGCGCATGGAAGTCTTTTGGACTTGCATTAAGATCCAACGAGAACTAATGTAATCAATATAAAAATAAAAACAAAAACATAACGACGGGTGCAACAAATTATTTTTTTTTTCAATTAACAGCAAAAAATTAATTTTAATATTACATCCAAGAGGATGCACTTCAATCATGTCGAAAATTTCATGAAATTTGTATGGCCACAAAAAAACAAATGTAGTAAAAGTAGCGTGATGTCAGTTCATGCACTGTATTAATAATAATTTTGTCCTTTTTGGCAAGTAATATTACACCATATTTTTGACACGATTGAAGTGCATCCAAATTTATTTTGCTGTGTTGATTTGTTTTCCGTCGATCTTGTTTTCCGTGCTGAGCACCAATGCTATCAACGCCAGGGACGTAGCTCCCATACCTGGACCCTACACCATCGACCCATCAACTCATAAACCGGGGACCAACGTCTTTACTTTCCTTCCGAAGTAAAGCGTGACGAGAGATGTTATGCCTCAAAACATCCCGGCGGCGCCGATTGGGATTGAACCCAGGCCTGGTGGGGTGAGAGGTAATCACGCTTACCACTACACCACCGGCGCCGCTAGCAATTATTGCTGATTTACATTTACACTTTGGAGAGATGAATGAACATTGCATGTTCTGTCGATGGATTTGCTAACAACTATTGTGAAGACTTTATTTTCAGAATATTACGGCAATTAGAAGGAGCACAGCAAAAACTTTATAAATTTACATGACATATATCGAAGCATTACATTGTTACATTTACATTTGAATGTGTTTGCGAAAGCTGTTATTTTCACGTGCTATAAAAAAGAAACTGCATTCAAATGCCTTTCAAAAGTCAATGGGTAACAGCTAAAGGCATTAATTTTCAAACCCGATTACCGCCATATTTGCACAACGTTGGAAAATTGTTTCTGTTTTCACCTACCTCGAACGTTCTGCGCTGATGCATATTGGAGACGGTGAAAAACGGCTAATCCACTTTGCGATGGTTTCCTTCAATCGTGTGTCGAATAGTTGAACATAAACAGCAGAACACCACTGTCTTCACGATTATTTCATAAGAATCGAGTTTGTTTTCTTTTCCCAATTTCAGTTACCCGTCACAACTATAAGGCACACTAGAACGAAATCCACAATATCCTTGAAGTCACTTCACGCTCAAGGCAGACACTGAGCACAACCTCCACTATCACCCGTTATATTCTGACTACGTATTTCTACTTTCACATTTAGTAACTTTCCGAGCTTAAACACTTTTGACGTGACCTTATAGTACTAAATGAGCATTTTAAGAAGAAGTATTCACAAACAAAGGCAGATCTTATACACGCAGTGAGTCTTTTCTAATAAAGTCTATCACAAAGTGCAAAAACCAGCTCAACCAGGACAGGATCTACCGACGACGAGATGAGCGCACTCCAACCATAAGTAAGTCAGAACTCGAAGTGAGGAACAGAAGCTTGCAATGAACTTTCAATGAACGGAGAAGCTTTAGCGAAAATAACTACACACAACAATCATCAGTGTAGGTTCGAGTACACACTTCAAACATGCACACACGCCATACGACCCTCTCAGCACGTACGGTAGTAGATAGGTAAGCATGTGTAGTATGCGGAGCTTGTTTTTATTTTGTGCGCTCACTCGCTGCGGATTCATAAATGGTATGGCAATAAACATTTTTAATGAATGTAATTGTAAAACAGCTTGCGCGCCGAGTTCCGAGGGGCCACTCAGTACATTTAGCATTATAAACAAATACACACATTTTTATATGACTGACGCCAACAGCAACAGGCAAGCATGCTGCCGAGGAGCCAAGCAATTCAATCCAAGTTTTCTCATCGAAAGGATTGTAGTTGATGGGGGTTGTTTACCGATTAGTTATTTGAATGTTTTATAATCCTTGTTGATTATAAGGTTCTTAATTGCTTTTGTTAAATTAGTGTTTTCACAGTCTCACAGAAGGAGGCAACAATTTGACGTAGTTTCAGAATCTACATTTGACTCTCATATGGCCTTCTGAGTAAAAGTCTAGAATTTAATTTTGCCCTAACACGTATCAATTTTAAAGTACCACTCACTTTATAAGGCTGTGCCGCCTTACAGAGATCAGTAAGCTTTCCATACGGATACCGCCTATGTATGTATCAGAAATATCTCTGGCATCGAGATAACGTTTTCAAATGTTTTAGGCAAATATCGCTTGAGTTATTTTCCACAAATAGTCCTTCATTAACAATAATGCAACATACTTAGGTTGGTAGTAAATGACTAAAATCGTGTATAGCATCCTAATTCAAAAAGAGGGTTGTACACACTTAGATGTCAGCAAAATTTCTATTTGTTATCTGAGATCTCGGAAAAGTTCTCGTTTGTTAGCAGAATCTCGGCTAAGATCCAGCAAAATAAAACGAAGTGTGTAGCTATAAAACATAACATATTAGGACATAATTATATTCTTGGCATTAACTCAAACGACCAGCCTTAATATACCAGATAAAGTCAAATATAGTTAGATTTTTCTGTTGTTCAAATCTTTTCCAGATTGTTGCATACCCGAGCAAAGTCGGTTAACAAAATGAAAGCAAATCGATATTAAAGTGTGCAGTTCCTATCATAATGAAAACTCATTTTGATTTCAAATGTTACGACATAAGTCTGATATCATATTGTGCTTTCATTATGCAGTCAAGACTTTTTAAATGAAAGCAACTTAACTTGAAGTTCTGCTGTTTACGTCTTGTTTAAAATTTAATTGAAATTCATCTGTTGTTGAACTAATGATGATTGTTTATTTGATTTGTTTGACACATTTTAGGTCATTCGTGACTTTCCCGGGGTGAGATTGGAGCCCAGCTTGAGAAACATGAATGGTAACCATTTACTCCAGGCCCGTATTCAGTTAAACATTATGAATGCAAAATCAGTAATCAAATTGATTTCATTGAAAGCAGGATTAGTTTTCCGTTTGCTTCAACAGTGTAAAATTTTGCTCTCATTTTTGCTGTGTTAACCGTTAAGTCAACCAAAATGAGATCAACTGGAGTATTCAAAATAAGTTACATCATAACAGCAAATTTTGATTTCAATTTGATCTTTAGCTTTGCTCGGGTAGTGTTCTGGGTCTTGAATTTGGTTTATTTATATAATTTTATGGAACAATTTCAATTTGTGTAGTACTTTGAAATTACAATGAAACTCCTAACAGGATTTCATCGAAATTATCACTTAAACCATTTTATAAACACTCTATAATATCGTCAAAGTTTTTTCATCACAAATTCAGAAACTCAGCATTCCTTTAGAGTGCTTCTGGAAATTCTAATGAAATTCCCTTGGAACTCTCCTACCTTCAAGTCTATCCACAGAATATAATATTCTTTGAATTACACAGAAAACCTTTGAAGGTTTCCCCAGAATTTGGGTAGTTTGCCAATTGTTCCACATCAACCAATTGTTACACGCTTCAAATTGTTAACTGTGCAGCATTTATACTTGATCATGACGATTACCGATCATGGTGGCATGTTAAATTTTGATCAATTGTTGGATGATAAAACATGATTTTTTTTTAATATTCAGTATGGTAGGCGTACCAGATATGGTCATTCAGAATTTACATAAGCCGGAATTGTAACACACCATTATAGGAACTTATACATAACTGATACATCTACCCTATGAGAAATATTGTGATTCAACATATTTTAAATATTTTTGGTACTAAGCATATTATTTCAGCCGAGTTTTAAATTTTCAGCTAATAATCCTTAGTTGAAAAGAAAAGAAGGTATTACTAGCTTAAAATTCAATTAACTTTACAAATCTCTACCGGATAATGTTAGTCATTGCTCTAATACATCTATCATCCACGAAACATTTACAGGAAAAGCAGAATCAATATTTGAACTCTTGGTTCTGCATTATTGTCTATGGGGAATAACGCCTTAAGTGATACAACGTTTCATAAAAATTGCTCGTGCGTTTATTTTCCTTCTATAGTCAGTAAAATTAGTGAAATAGCTAAAATTATAAGTACAATTTTCAAAAAGTTGCGTTCAATCATCTAACATAATCAATTCGTGCTGAAAATTTAAATTCTAAATTGCATTTAGTCATATTTAATGGTGTGCAATACAAAGTGTACAGTAAGTTATATTCAATGCAAATGATGTGTGGGGCCCTGAGACACACCCTGAGATTTATTATAAGGAAAAATTTAAACATATAAACTGTTGATGAACAATTTGAAAATTACCTATGTCTCATCAGTATTTAATTGAAGCATTCTCAGGACTCCCATTAAATTATCTCCAGATTTTTAATCAGATTTCCCTTCCCAAGTAACAAAAAGTTCTGATAAAAGGCTATTTGTGGCTTAAGCAGCTTGGTTGAAGGTGGTCTATAGAATTCTAAGCAGCATTATTTTTAAGTCGTTTTAAGAACTTGAAAGTTCCGGTACCATAGTTGAAGACCATTCTAAGCAGCTTCTGGCGGAACTTGAACGGAACTGTTAGAAAATAAGTTAAAAAGAGGTTTTGTCCTCTACACCAATTCTATATTTAGTTCGCACTTTTATGAAACTTTATTCTAAAGTCAGGTCTTCATGAAAGTTATTTCTTAAGGCATGTATGAACGTGTATGATCTATCAACATTAGTAGTAGTATTGGTGAGCTAGCTCTGTTTGAAGAATTAAACCCAGCCCTACTGCGTGAGAGCTCCAGCACGAACCACTACGTCATCTGAGATATATTGAAGTGAGCCTGTTGTCCCGCCTACTGTTGGAGCTTTCAGTACCAGCTGACTGACTTGAATACGAAACACAACAACTTGATGAATTTTAAATTGGTGTTTGCCCACTTAGTATTCTAACACACTTGTGGCCAGTGTTCGGAAAAACTAAAAACTCAAATCTCATGCATGAGTTTATGCGCCTATGAGTTTTGCCTTGCAAAATTCGACGTCGCAAAAATCACCGATGAGTTTTCAGGTTCAAAAATTCATTGCTTTATGTTTTGGCGTTATTCATTGGTATTACTATTGTTTGTGCATCAGGGGTTGGAAAACTAACACAACATGCATAGGCATGATATCAATTGACGTTTGAGTGGTTTTTATGAGTTTAAGGCTCGAATGATTTTTCGGCGTTGTGAGTGTGAGTGCGTGAATATGCATGAGAATCTCAAGCGTGAATTTTGTTTGCCGCATTCGCACGCGAGTTTATTCTCGCAGGGAGGCTCAATGAATGAGATTTGAGAATGATTTTCCGAACACTGCTTGTGGCGCAGTGGTTAGCGTTCGTAGATCGTATGCCGAATACAAGGGTTCGAATCCAGGAAATTGCTCTTTGTTTTTTAATGTTTGGATAGAATGTTGATGCACTGCATAATATAAGAATTATGATTGATTTGAGCCACTAATCATTTCATATTTACGTACATTAAATTTTGTTAATAATAAAGACTTGTGCGGATTGCTTCATGTGGGCTATGTCGAACCTTTTTAAAAACTCTCAAGTGTCCAAGAAGTTCCGGAACCGTGCCGTTTTGGAACTTTTTTTTAACTTCAAGTTGCTAGGAGTACGCATCGGAACTTTTTGGAGCCTGAAGTTCCGCGTGTGCTTTCTATAGTTTCTAAAGTAGCCAGAATGTTGTGTTTTAACTTTATATGCACTTTATGGAACTTGAAAGGGGGTTTTATCGATAAATGCACAACTTTTGGTTGCTTTGGAAGAAGAACTGTCGGAGCTTTATTTGAACTTTATGAAACTTGAAAGTTCTGTCAGAACTCTGTCAGAACTTTATTTGAACTTTATGGAACTTGAAAGTTCTGTTTGAACTTTATGGAACTTGAAAGTTCTGTTTGAACTTTATGGAACTTGAAAGTGAATTTTATCGTTGAATGCGGAATTTATGGTTACTTGGGTTGATTATCGTCCTGCAGTCAATAGCTTTTGAATTCTTTCCAGAATTCTCAACATATATTTTTTAGAATGTTTTTCACAAATAACCGGGAATTCTGCTCACAATATCGATAAAATTATCTATTGCTTTGAAGTTCCTTTTAAAAAACGTTTAAATAGTTAGAACCCAAATCGTCCAAATGACTTGAAATTATGCAAGGCTCAGTATCTTTCAATCAGTAATTTTTTATCTAATTTCGGGATTTTTGAAATTTTTAAAAAGTTTTTTTTTAAAGATGTCTTTTTTACGGTCCAACATTATAGGAAAAAAGAGCCAACATTGAAATCTTGAACATTGTCCTAAATTTCAATTTTGTTGTAAATATCACGAAGGTTTTTATTATTCGATAAAGGCTGAGAAGTTTTCCAAGTCAGAGATCTAGAATATTTTTCGCGCGATCTCATTTTGTTCACTTTTTTTTCACTGGCTGAAGTATTGGTCAGCGTGCTTGTTCGTGTACTCGGAGTTTAGATCCCGTCTTCCATGGGCCACAATAATCCCAATAAAACCAGAAATCTATAGTAAAACGTTGAAAAACAAAAGGGCGAATTGACAAAGCAAGCAGTCGACCAATAATATAATAT